CTCACCTGGAAGCCCGGCCCTGGTAGGAAGAAACCTTGTCTCCTTGAAATAATCGATTGCATCATCAGAGCAGGTCTTGAGCGTGTTCACCCGCACAAATCGAGGCACCTGGGAGGCTAGGAAGCAACCAGCCATCAGTGGGCAGGAACCTGCCATTTGAGGCCTGATGGCTGCCCCCACCCCCACAACTCAGCTCACCTGCGCCAGGCCGCATCCCACTTCCAACAAGTCCTCATTCCGGCTCACACCTCGATGGACCTTCAGCCGGGCCAACTCGGCCTTCAGCCTGGCCTGGTGTCGGTTCAGCAGAGGCTTCCATCTGCCCCCGCCCCCTCTAAAGCCTCTTCCCAGCAACAACTCATACACCAGCACCTGGAGATGGAAAGACCAAGAGGTAAAAACAAAACCCTCAGCATTCCTGCCTTCCCGCTCCATAGCGTTGGAACTGGAAAGGCTAAACAGATCACCTGTCGAGGCAGTAACGGGTGAAAGTGAGGTGCCTTGTGCGGATCACACAGAAATTAATGGCAGATGGAGGATCTGAACCTGAAGCCTTCCGCTCACCAGCAGAGCTCAAGATCGCAGCCCTCCTCCGCGTCAACATCACCCTTTGCTTTACCTAAACCGCCCCTGCCATTGCTACTTCGTACTTTTGCTCTTGTTTACTCTTTCACACAGGCTTGAAGTTAAAGCGTTTTCATCTCACCTCAATTCCCAACTCAGAGGCGCGTCCTCAATTCAGAGGCGCTACGGCCACACGGCGGCCCGGAGGGAGCTCGGACCGGGTTCGGAGGGACTCACTGCCCCGCCCCCGCCCCGCCCCTCGCCCGTCACCTTGGCCAGGTGCGGCCGAAGCTTCTTCTCGGCGCGTCTTCTCGGCGCGGAGGAGGCCGGCGCTGGAGATGACCGAGTCCAGCACCGCAGAGTAGCGCTGCGTCTCGCACACCAGCGCGTACAGCTGCTTCACGTTCTGCGCGCGGCCAGAGAGACACAAGCTGAGGCGGGGCCCGGCCCAGGCCAGCCTCCCGCCCAGCCGAACCCCGCACCCCGCACCCCGCACCCCGCTACCTGGAAACTGCTAGCGTACACCAGTCCTTTGATGGAGCCCTGGCGGCTCTCCACACCAGCCAGCACGGCCGCCGCCGCCGCGTACAGCGCCATGCACCACTGCCGCGCGCCTTTACGGTTCTGTCGCAACGTCGCGGCCGCCCCGACTTCCGGGGTTAAAGGGCGCAGAGGCGGGGCACCGGAAGCCCCAGTGCCGTGGGAGCCTCCCAAGGCGGATGTCCGTATGTTAGAGTAGGGAGGCGGGCCCTGGGAGCGCGTTTCTCCACTTCTTGTTAGGGTTTCACTTTTTTTTCTTTCCATTTTTGCCGATCTAATAGCAAACAGTGGGATTTTACTGCTGTTATTAAGGTTGAATGTCTTCATACTTATTGGTCATTTGTACTTCTGTTATCATAACACTAGAAGCCTCATGCACGTTTTGTGCTAGGGCTGGGGCCTGCTGCGGGGCCACCTCTGCCTCCGCCCACCCCAGCTTCTTGGGGAAGGTCCTCTGGTCTAATTAGCATATCACGCTTTTATTATTATAGAAGATATTAATGTGTTGCCCTGGAAGTCAGCTCACTCTTACGCCATCTTTCCCTTAGTGCCCTTTATATATTAACATTATATACTGACAACGTAAAAAACATTCAAGCCTGTAGAGAATTTTTGTGAGTTTATTTGAGCCAAACTGATGACAATTGCCCGGAAGTAGTCTCAATGGATTGAGAATATGCTCCAGAGAATGGCAGTTTTGCAATTTATTTTATACATTATAATCATAAGAGGAAATATAAGTGGTTTACATGAAATCATTGATGATAGGTTAGGGAGGCAGGAGAAAGCAAAGTGGGGAAACCTCTGGGATTGGGTAAAAAGTAAAATGATAGTAATTCTGAAACAAGTGTATGTGTATTGTAGAATTGAGCAAAGAAGTAACTATATTTTGTTGAGAGCCAGGCTTTTTTAAAAAAATATATTTTATTGATTTTTTACAGAGAGGAGGGGAGAGGAAGAGAGTTCAAAACATCGATGAGCGAGAAACATCAATCAGCTGCCTCCTGCACACCCCAACCTCCTGCACACATCGCAACCAAGGTACATGCCCTTGACTGGAATCGAACCCAGGACCCTTCGGTCCGCAGGCTGACGCTCTATTCACTGAGACAAACCAGCTAGGGCGGGAGCCAGGCTTCTTGTGCTGAGAGAAAGGAGCTACAAATATAAAATGGTGAAAGGCAAGAATTATACAAAATGGCAATTTTCTCCAGTCTGTCCACAGGAAGGATATTCTCAATAACACTTCAGTGGCAATGAGCACACCTAGATTCCAGATCTTGGGTTCTAATATCACTTCCCACTAAAAAGAATCAGGGGTCCTTAGTAACATGGCTGAGTCCAGGGCTGGGCCTGGGAGAGTAACCTGGACCATCTTGTGCCAGAAGTAAGAATGTGCCCAAAGAATGGCAGGCACAGAAGCCAGCTTGAAGGAGCTCCAACTGACCAAATCCAGTACAATCTGAGCATAAAAATAAATTATGATAAATTATTAATGAATTATAATGGACTATAATTCATTAATAAAATCAGAATCCATGGATTCATATTGACAGAAATAAATAAAAGTAGAAGGAAAGGCCCTTACAATAAAATGTTAAGTAATAAATACAGAAGGAATGATTGTTTTAAAATCACTATATGGCAATCATAGCAGTAATTTGATTCAGGCAAGAGCCATCAATTACTATAAGAAACAGGATATTCACATAACTTCAAGTAATCTCTCCACAGGTTACTTTATTTAAAACAAAGTTGGGAAAGTAACTGTACAGTAGAAAAAGTTGGAGGACATGTCCAGGACTCGGTGATCAAAATTAACATTGCCAGCCCTAGTCAGTTTGGCTCAGTGGCCTGCGGACTAAAGGGTCCTGGGTTCAATTCCAGTCAAGGGCACATGCCCAGGTTGTGGGCTCAATCCCCAGTAGAGGGCATACAGGAGGCAGCTGATCAATGATTCTCTCTCATCATTAATGTTTCTATCTCTCTCTCCCTGTCCCTTCCTCTCTGAAATCAATAAGATATTTTAGGGGAAAAAAGTAACATTGCCAATATGGGAGCAAGTCACAATCTCCGACCAGTTGGTAGCATCACTTCCGCAGTATTCCTGCCATCTATGCATAACCTGAATCAAATGAAGTATTAAACACACCCAAATCGAGGGACATTCTACAAAATAATTGGTCCCATCTCTTCAAAATGGCAAAATTGAGAGGACAAAGAAAGACTAAGACTGACCCAGATGAAGGAAAGCTAAAGAGACATGACAACTGAAATGTAACTAGTGATCTTGGATTGGATCCTGGACCTGAACTAGTCTTACAACAGAGGACAAGGAGGACAATGGGTGACATCTGAATAATGTCTGTAGGCTGGATAACAGTGTTTTATCAATGTTAATTTCCTGATTTTGACACATTTGCATTGTGGTTATATAAGAGAATGTCTTTGATTTTAAAAAATTTTTAATTAAAAAAAAAAAAGATCTTGCCCTAGCCGGTTTGGCTCAGTGGATAGAGCGTCAGCCTGCAGACCGCGAAGCGTCCCGGGTTCGATTCCGGTCAAGGACACATGCCTGGGTTGCGGGCTCGATGCCCAGTGTGGGGTGTGCAGGAGGCAGCTGACCGGTGATTCTCTCTCATCGTGGATGTTCTATCACTCTCTCCCTCTCCCTTCCTCTCTGAAATCAATAAAGATATATATTTTTTTTAAAAAGATCTTTTGATTGCAAACACTAATTCTGGCTAGCCAAACAGAATTTATTAAATAGGTGTCTGTCTGAAGGCAGGAAGATGCACACAAAAGAGTAGTTGAGGACATTTTAAAGAAGGGACTGGTTAGAGTTAAGAGAACTTACAGGGGATGGTGCAGTACTCAGGGCTAGCAGCAGCACTATTCACCACCAGGCCCGAGGAACAAGGAAAGAGTAACAGAAGGAGGGAGCCACCTGCCAGGACTCTTAAGTAGAGGGAAGCTGCTAACCCATAGCCCAGCAGGCAGGAAACCAGGAAAATAAATACCTCAAACCCCCTCTCCTGCCCTTGGATCTCCTGCCAGTCCCTCCCATCAGCTGAGCCCAGCAGAAGCCAAAGAGTTTTGTGTTCCATCAGGGCCAGCCTCCCAGGACACAGAGCAGGATGAAGAAGAGTGGAGAGTGACTTTGGAGGGGTGACACTCCAGCCCAGTCCTAGGACTGAAGGAACTGCTGCATAACCAAAAACAAGGTCTGAAAGGTTTCAAGCACACAGCACCCAGGGCCAGCGCCTGGCAGATTCAGCCAGTAAGATACAAACACTATTTGATTCAGACAGTTTATTACTTACATCGAAAGCAGAAGGAAAATTAGCCAAAAGTGCCAGCTCCAGGTGGTCCTTGTTGTACACACAAAAAAGGATGCCGTGGAAATCAAAGGGCTGATGACTGCAACACCAGTTGTGGGATATGCTGTTGCTGAGGGGCCAGTTCTACACTCCGCTAAGCTGTTTTGTAGTCTGCAACTCTACTTGGAGGGAGATGGAGCAAAAAGCCTCATTCTTCAGCAGGGCCTAGGAGGTGATATCTCCCGATAGTCTCCTGTGAGATAAGGAGGTGGGTGGACATGGCCTTGAGGTAGCACCTCACAAGCCTCCCATCCTCTCTGTTCCTGGAGGATCACTCAGGCTGTCAGTCAAGCCTTTGCCTGTGTGGCCTATGTGGATACTTGCCATGGCACCATAATGGAGCTCTTCCCCATGGAAGGCTCTCAGGTGGCTTCACAGACCTCAAGTCTGGGGAGCTCTCTAAACTTTTAGAGTCTAAAGCACCAGGTCTCAGGTGACTGGGTCCTCAACCATGTTCTCTCTCCCAGTGTTCAGATTCTTGGGAGAGACAACATCAGTTGTGGCCAGGAGCAGGCTCACCATGAACATTCATGGGCTCTGGCCCCCCTCCATGTGCATGGCAGCTTTCAGGGATGGGCTGAACCCCTGATTGGTTCCAACTTGCTTCTGCTTTAAAGTAGTGTCATTTCCATCTCATCTCACTGAGAGGGAAGTCAAAAGAGTCTTTAAGGACAGAGCAGTGATGGAATGGTTGATGTGACTCTAACCACAGAACAATGGGCAGTGGGTAGAAGCAAGCTCTGGCCCCACTAGAGGTTGGAGACCCAAGAATAAAGCAATTCTGTACAGTAATTAATATTTGCAAATCATTTAAAGAGAAATATGGATGGGAAGGCAGAAGTGGGTAGAGGTGAGCAAAGGGCAGGGAAAGGGGGAATACCTGCAATTTTGTCAACATTAAAAATAAAAAATAATTTTTTAAATAAAAAGAAATAAATAATGTCCAATTTCTTGTCTTTGAAGTTATTTTAAGTTCACAATGATAATGAAAAATTATGTATGGGAATGTTTCCACCCTCAGTTGGAGGAGTAAGCAACAAGCATGGTAGGAGGGACCAAGGGAAGCCCAAGGCCCAGTTCTGCTGGTTAAGAAGCAGGTTAATAATCTAACAATAGGTAAATAAACACGCGGTTCGCTGATGGGGAACTGTGGTCCTTTTCTCCATATCACTAAATGTTTCCAGGGTCACAGAGGCATGAAGACCTTCCAAACAGTAAAGACGTAACCTCTGTTTGCTGGACCCAACAGAATCCCTGGAGTCCCCATGCCCAGATGGGAAGGGCCTGTGAGCAGGCAGCCCCATGAGCACCCCTACAGCTTGGTGGGCTGTGGAGAGCTGAGATGACTGGGCCCGCTGGGCGGGGGCAGCACCATGGGCAGTGAGTTGCTGCCCCTTTCATGCCAGCATGTGTCCAGGATGGGGTAGAGCTTGCCCTGGAAGTCAGCCTGGAATGTGTAGAGTGGTCGCAGGTCATCTGGGCGGTCAGCATCGAAGAAGGTGAGCTCTCCCTGCTCATAATGCAAATAGACGCCAATGCGGTGGGGGTGTCCGGCCACGGGCAGGGGCACCCTCGGGCAGCCAAAAGCCTCATACACCCGGCCCTCCTTCAAGCCAATGAGCCACATGCCATGCTCTGGGGACTTGCTCAGCTTGCCCTTGCGACTGGCTGTGCCCTTGATGACTCCCAGGCGCCAGTCGCTCTTGATGCCCACCA